GCATCCCTAAATTGCACTAAAAAAATCACAGTAGTAAAGTAATATTCATGTTTTTTTGGTATTATTGAATGGATACCAATGGATATCTGTTGGAGTGGGTGCAGGTTACAGTTAACACAGATTTAAATGTCCACAGTTGTTGATGTGGTGATGTTACAGTGCAGTCACACTGAGGTTTTTAAGTAGAAGTAAGAGATAAGTAGTTGCGTAAGTAAGATGGACTGTCTTTACGTGGTTAAGAGACTGAAGCAGCACATTTCTCCTCTCACTCACTTTTCTACAAATAGTTCTTTAACTTACTTTGAAAAATTCTGGAGAACATCATTGAGCCTAACGGCCTTTACACAGACAGTACTGTATGCATTACATTATGATTGGAGGCTGAGCCCCCCCTAAAGGTTTCATCCTAGAATCGCCCCTGCATTTAGGCTTCTCTACCTGTGACCCTGCATACTAATCTTCTCCCAGCTGAAAAATGGTCCCAGTAGGAGAAGCACGGACATTTAAAACAACAAAAACCCTGATAAGTGCCAGTAAGCCACGTGACAGTGGATCAGAACATCATCATATCAAAACAGTTTAATGCAATTAAGCCGTCGTTAATTGTATTATTAATACGCTTTTCCTACCTTGCAATGCAACAAAAAATAAATTAAAATAAATAGGAGGACACCCGGATGAAGCCAAGTTACTTTAATACTTCTCAAAACCTTCATTTTCTTCATTCGCTTTCTTGCCTGAGCTACTAACGAACGACAGAGGAGTGCACGTTGGTGTAACCCATATGACTTCATTTCCCAGATTGCACCGCGCTCCATGATGTTCCCAACAGCTGACAGACGGTGGAAGCCTCTGTCAGAGCTGTGTCGGTGGAAGCTTTGAGTATCCTCTCAGTCGAGCCTCACTGGACTTTGGACCCGGGTCACCGTCGAGCACCTTATTTTCATCTCTGTCAACATTTTTGTTTGCACATAGGGCTTCCATTTCTTTTCTTTTCTTTCTTTTTTTTTCCAGATTCGGAGCTGGGGACAATTGCTGTCAGCTAACTTCCACAATAGGTCGCTGCGTCGCCGGACTGCTGCATATGTTTGATTTATTTTTATTTTACATTTTTTTTAGCTTAACACTTTGACTCCAGCCCTTCCAGCCGTGCCCAATGCCGAGGAATGGATAGTGTGTCTGCTAAAGGCGGAAAGATGGTCGAGAGTGATGAGCAGCCGGAGAGGGATAGCGGCGGTGGCGCAGCGATGGCCGCGCTACATCAGTGCGAACTGATCCAGAATATGATTGATATCTCCATCTCCAGCTTACAGGGGCTACGCACCAAATGCGCCGCCACCAACGACCTTACACAGCAGGAAATACGAACTTTAGAGGTAATGAGCTTCCCCCTCTCCTCCTCCTCCCGAGCACGGGCTCCGTGCATAAGCCCCGTCCGGAGATAGAAAGCAGTATAGCCAAATTGCGGAGTCATGAAGCCCCAGCGCTATGTCCGCCTCCCAGGCTGAATATTGGCTGAGGCGCCCTATCAGTGTCAGTGAGCCGAGCACATTTTGTCGCTTTACGGGCAACTGCTGGCTCGCTGTGTAGAGGTGACTCAAAAATAAACATAAAAAAAAAACAATAAAAGGAGCTCATAATGAAGTTTTGCTTTGTCCCGTTGGGTTTTACTATCCCTCTAGAATATTCTTTATTTGCCCGGAGCTCCTTGGATTGTTCCCAGCACCGTGCCGTGCAGCTGTATTGAGCCTGGCCTCATGGCACACATTCAATAGGCACTCACGGCTTTTATTTATATAGATATATGTATATGTTCGTGTATGGCGCTCTGCACTTCGTTTTGCCTCTATACAGTGGGGCCTGTGAGACAAATACAAATGTACGACGCGATCCATGTGGTTACCCCCCCCTTCCCAACCTCATCCAGCAGGCAAAGGCTGGTGTGCTGCTGCTGCTGCTCTCCTGCATCTGGATGCAGATTCACCTACGTCGTGCGGGGATGACTTGACATTGCTTTGCGCGTTGCTCTTTTGGAGCAACATACCCTACTATAGCAGGCGGCACGGTGGAGAAGTCATGCCTGGTGGCGTGCAGGCGTCAGCACAGGACGCACGCTATATTGCTCTCACTTCGCATGTTTCAGGAAAATTCAAATGAGGGACGGGGGAGTGCGTTTTTTTTCGGTTTACCACATAATGATAACTGATACATGCGAAACAGGGTTATACATATAGCTCTCTTCTGCAGTCGTTTCAACAAAAGGGCCAGTTTTTTTTTTTTTAAATCTCAGGCCTGGATGTTGCTGAGGAGGGTGATGGGAAGAGGAGGGGGGTGCTGTGGCATATAAATGGCTGATACAGACAGTATATTTTGATGAGGCTTGGAGATGTGGAAAACAGTTGAATATTACAAGTTCAAAGCCTTCAAATGTCACAGTGACATCCTGGAGACATAATAGATGATGGGGGTTTTCTGGTTCATGGTTTATTTAAAGCCTTGTACCTTAGCTAAAAGGAATACTCACTCCTGATTGGCTAGAGGCTATCAATTATCCATGTCTCCTTTATTTCTGTATAACCAAACACCCGTGAACAACTGGGCTGTTGCCCTACATTAAAAAAAAGTATTGCTTTCCTTTTAGCCTCACAGTGATATAATGAGCTAGTTTTTAGAAATACTTAGCGCGGTCCAGAATTGCTGCTAATGAAGGAAGAAGCCCCTTAAACGACAGATTACACTGTGTCCGTAACCTCTTAGAATCACAAATACAAATATCACCAGCAAGGCCTGGGGGGGGTTTACCCAAAAGCAAAGGAGAGATGACTGAGCTGTTTTATGGACTCAGCTGCAACTTTTTATCCAGTTTGAGAATACTGTATGAACCTCTATAAAATAATTTGGTTGCTCCCTCGCTGGCTGACAGGCATCAGGTGCGAGTTGGCAGCTATTCTGTGCAGGAACAAATTTTTACAGGCTCGAGTAAAGAAGCCTGGTCTTAAATGAAAATTCAATTCTTCAACTGAATGAAACCAAAGCAAATCAGTTTGGATATATATGTATGTATGTATGTATGTATATATATATATATATTATATTATTATCAAATATGGGCCTGAGCTGAGCTGGATAAACGGGTTCAAAACAAAGAGTGCAAAGCGAATCCTGCTCCACATTTTTACCCCCTCTTCATCTGTGGTCATGCGTACCTTGTCTCTGGAACAGGATGTGATCTGGCAGAGTACTTCCTGAGAAATGCTGTCATGTGGACACATTTTGCACCAGCATTGTTCTATATGACAATGGACAGGCCGTGCCGCTCTCACATGTTTCTTGAAGGCTCCTGGGTCTCTTTCCTGTGCCTATGAGACCGTTATTAGGGGCTGTCTCTGAAAGTCAGAAGTGGAAGCAGTGGATGTGGTTACTTCAAGTCAAAGTTTGCTGCTTTATAGACCTCGCAAGCTTTCAGGATCCTTTCCTGCTTTGGATCAGAATCAGAAATCAAACGAGTCCTGAAGGGGAGATAAAAAGTGCATCAGTCTGCGTTTCATTAGCTGATTTTATGCCTCAGCTGTACGTGTGTGTGTGTGTGTGTCATTGTATTTTTTCTTATTTCCACTGATTATAGCTGTACTTTTGTTTGATTGTTTAAACTGCTTCAGCGACTAGTCGGCAGTGAGCTCACGGTGCAGCTGTTCATACACGCTGCGTTGTTACTGCAAGTGGCAGCATAAAGATAAAAAAATCTGACAACAATCGACTTGTCTGAGAACACGTGACTCGTAATATCTTAGATCACAGCTCTAGTGGAAAAGTGCAGTCACCTCTTGGGTTCCTTTGTGTAATTCTTTGCCATGCAATGACTGTGTTTGTGTTTGCTATGCCAAGCGAGCCTAAAGGGATCCTCTAGCACAAGATTTTAAGGCTGTTCAAATGTTGCAGTTGCTTTATTTGTCCTTATTTTCTTTATTTTCTAATTTTGTAGACCGTTTTTAGAGAGTTAGCAGACTTTGGGGTGATTTCGTCATGCTTTTCTTAAACTGGATGCTTCCTACACAGTAAAACAAATGGGGAAGTAACAAGAATTGGGGGGAAAAAAAAGACTGATGTGAAGAAATCTTAAAGATAAGCAGAGATCTTTGGGCAGGAGGGGAGAATACAGTTGCGGTCTGTTGATATAGATAGTTTTCTGTCTCCGAAAAACTCAAGACAAACTGAAGAAGAGATTTAGAAGTCCTATTTGCTGTTCTCTGGGTGTGTTCTTCAGAAAGCATCCATTTGTAACATGAAGGATTGGTTTAGTAGGGTTATCAGACGGGCATGATAATGTTTCAATCATGATAATGTATCGTGCCAGAAACACCGCTAGGGTTAGATGTCTTTCAGGCTGAGGAGGGCATTAGGGATCCTCTGCCGATCAGCGGTCTTACTTCCCACAGCTTTACTGGCACGCTCTTTTGAAACCACCTCTTGCCTTCATTGTGTAGTTTCACTTCTCACTTGGGCCCTCTGTTAGATTCTTCTTACCACGTTCCCCGTCTCTTAGAAGTAAGTGGATTAGTGCACTGGTCGTAGATTTCAAATGACTCTCAAGAAGTATTGTGTGAGAGGTGTTGCTTTTCCAGGCGTGCGAGAGATGTGTCTGATGAGGTGAGGCGTGCAGTGGTTGCAGCGGCATGCCATGGTTCTAAAGTTCTACCAAGCGCTCCACCATGCAACCGTCATATCAGAGGAGGTCTGTTCTGCAGCGAGGCATGGGTATCGTTCCTGCCAGAGCTGCAAGTACTTTTAATTTGTGTGTTGAATTTGAGCAGTCTGTGTGAGGTCAGAGTAGTTGTCACGCTTGTGGTGCGAAAGGGTTATCTTTCCCATATTGCACTGGAGTGCAATCAAGAGCAGCTTGAACTCACTTTATTCCCTCATTGAGAGAGCTTTATTATTCCACTTGAACTGTGTGTGTGTGTTTGTGGGGGGGTTTTCTGCCTTGCCAGTGAGAGGATAATGATACTGGCCTCTCAAATGGAGTGCTAACTGGTACTTCACTTTTCACACGTTAATCCCACTCAGGCTTAGGCTCTGTCTGCCTCTCGTGGTGCTTCTGTTACATTTACTGTAGCTCTTCATGTATGCTTGACTCTTGCTTTATTGCATCCACGCATCCACTTGCTCTGCCTTTTAGCACCTTGTTTGTTCCTGAGCCGTAATCCCAACAGAATCTCAACTTGGAAAACAAATGCACCCTAATATCAAGTGCTTTGCTCGTGCACGCTGGCCTTAAATGGTGTGATATATATATATATATATATATATATGAGAGAGATATAGATATATACATTGATGCTCTAAGTCTTTCCATAAAAGCAGCCTGTGCCCTTATCTTTCTTTGTCATCACCTCTCTATGTAATGCAAACAGCAAAGCGTCACTCTGTTTTGTCTCCTCACAGTGTTGGAGAGAGTTTGCTGCGCGCTCGTGGTGCGAGCTGTTGTGGCTGCGTCTATATTTAGACATCTTTCTTCCTACGCATTTTCAGGGTTGGTTGTTAAATAAGAAAATCAAATGACGCGCAAAGAGCCCGTTCGAGAAGGGAGAGCAGGGAGGAAAGGGGAGGGGAGAATCAAAGCCAATCCGCTGTGCTGCTTCTCATGACATGACAACTGCTGTGTGTGTGTTTGCTGTTGGGGGGGAGTATAAAGGAGGAAACACAACTGTAGTGACTATATCAGCCCTGACCCTTTCTCTGTTTGTTGTTGTTGTTGTTTGTTTGTTTTTTACAGTATAGCAGAAGTAACCAATAAGATAGAAGTACATACTGTTGAACAGTGTAGGCAGATGTTGATCTATTCTTAAACCGACTGGGGATGAGTTGAGGATTGCATCCTGTAATTTTGAGGCCTGCTGTACTTTTTTCTTCTCTGGGAAGAAGGGATTTGCTTTGTCTAGCTGTAAATCATACCTGGTTGTAATTGTCTAAAAATAGACCTTTTAAAATGTTTAAAAGTGCAATGCCTCACGGCAGCTTGTAAACCTTACATTTTAACTGGCTAAACTGGCCACATGTTCTCCTCTTAGACGTGTCTTATTTGGTCTGTCTGAGGCTCAGACAGACACGTACCCCTGGACCTACCACTCCCACCCAGCATCGACTTGCATGGGTGCTAACAATGATGGAGGAGGGGCAATTTATAGGCCATTGTCTTGGACTGTCAACTGTTTATACCCGACAGACACACCCCCACCTCCCCTCTGTGACCTGGCCCCTGCATAAATATGTCAGGATTAGATTTTTTTTTTCCTGTTTTGGCCAATGGTGACAATGTAGCATACAGATATGCTGAAGCAAAGATGAAGCAAATCTCTGGGACACAGTTTTAAGAGGTGCTTTGACTTTCAGTGCTCTCTACTTTCTGTTCAATCTCCACCAAAACTTATATCGGTTTCTCCTCTTTGGGTTTTTCTTACCTAGTCCAGAGGGGCCACATGGCTAATGATATATGACATAAGGCGTGTTCTTATTCAGCGAGCCTGTTCTGACAACAAGAAGTGAGTGCAGATTTCTGGGCGGGAGAGCTGACCTTCATCTGCAAATAACATTTCCGGGGATAGAGCATTGTTGCTCAGTTCTGTGATAGGGCCACGCTTATAGCCTTGGCAGGTGCACCGAAGTGGCTGTGTCAGCAGGAGCCTTGAGAAAACAAAACAACTGAAGCGGTGGGATGTGCTCCTCGAGTCTGCTGTGTCAGGCTGGCCTGTGCTCGGACTCCCTTCTCCTTTCCTCGGTGCCCGACAAACCGGCTGTCACTCATCCCCTCGCAGCATTAGGCTGTTGCCATGGTGTTGTTTAGCTCTGCTGACAGGTGGGCTCTGACGCCATTTCTCCCCCTCCTCCTCCTTCCACCTCCGGGCCACACGTCAAACACTGCTTTCTCCCCTTTGCACCAAAAATAATATCCACGAGGCCAGCCTGCCATTATTTTGTTGACGTGTGCGTGCCTGTGCTCTTCTTATGCACAGTACTGATATCGGTGAGGGGGTTTCGTTCTTGTGTCCCCCTGTCTACCTTAACCATTTAGATGATAATGGGTAAAGAGACTGCTCTCTGTGGGAGGAACAATATAAAAGAAATGTTGGTCGTGTTTTTGCTCCTACACATTGGGATGTTTATATGGTGATATGTATGGTGCCTGAGCTCCGTGTTTCACATGTTTGGGAAAATCCCACTGAAATGTTGCTGACGACTCAGAAGAGGGGTTGCTAGGTAACCTGACGTCACAGGGCTGCACTGGTGTATAGGGAGGTAAAGCAGGAGGCTAGCTCATTAGCCACACTGAGCAAATGCCATGCTAGGCCTGATCTAAAAAACAAAAAAAAACAAAAGGACTACAGGCTCTGTTATTCTGAGTTTATAATGGATTGGATGTCGCATTTATCACAGGTTCACTTTGAGCAGTCCTGCTTCTATCTCCCATCTACTCCGAATACATGGGTCTGTGTGTGTGTGTGTGTGTGTGTGTGTGTGCCCGCCAGTACATTTGCATATATGTCCATATGTAAAAAGGTTTCCAGCAAAATACGTTCCTGTCTTTTCACTCCTCCCAGAGAGGGAGCTGGTCTTACTTACTGGCTTCTAAGGCCAACCTCTGGCAGCTGAATGCATGTTCAAGTCAGAAATGCTGCTCTGTTTTTGTCCTTTTTTAGTAAAGCTTGCCGGCACTCTTTGGCATGTACGACCTAAACGTTTGTATTTAGGCACATTCGATTTAGCCAAATAAGCTTTTATGACAAGGTGCTTTCTTGTGTGCTGGTAATATTTCTTTTCATTGGATTACATTCAGTTTTATTATTTTATAATGCTCTCACTGCAGCTGATGATTGACGACTGCTCGCAGAGCTGAAAAGCTTCAGTCAGGGTCAACACGTTGAGAATTTAACTTCTTTCTATCGTCTTTCATCTCTCTGGCCTCCAGTGGAGAGGCTTTTGTTGGCTGCTGTGAAGAAGCCTTTTTACATCCCAAGGCCACACTTTCCGAGAGCAGCGCGGTATGCTGTACGAGTTTCTGTCTCGTCGGTGAGCAGAGGAAGCTCAATGAGCTGAGAAAGACACACGCTCGTCGCTGTTGCCCAGGCACTCGAGAGGTGCGCGGTGGGTCGAAAGGTAGCCGGTGCCGTTCAGCTCATCTCAAGGTGCTGCCTGCTGTAATGGATTCTTACAGATAGACGGTGAGATAAGGACACTCTATACAGTCACGCTGAGCTGCACAATGCAGGCCGTTGCAAACCAATACCACGGCGAGCATTGTTATACTTACTCACAGGACCACTGCGCTCAACATGGGTTTTTTGGAAGGCATCAGATTAAATTGTTACAGCTTTACATTTTATTTGTGCAGACATAATGTTTCGAGGCAGACTCCAGTGGAATCATTTGCATTGATAGGCCGATCATTTTTACCTATACAAAAACAAGGTAAAGCAATATTAACTGATGGGATGTTAACTGATGTTGGGTCTGATGTCATGAGACACTACAACAAAGGTTGCACCCAGGCGGCTAATTAACAGATGCAACCATTAGAGGAAAAAAAAACTGAGGAGAAGTAGGTGTCTGTGCATCTTGTTGAAAAGAATACTTTATTTAGAACTTGACAGAAATACAGCTCATCTCAATATACTGGACAATATTTTTTATATTGTACACGTAAAGGTGTACAATACAGCTTACAGTGGTGTTCTTTGGGTTATACACCTCTTATTTCTTTCTCTAAACATAAGCAGCATTTCTGTGGCACAAGAGCTCTAGTTTTGTCTCATCTGACAAAAGGACACATTTCCAGTACATATAACCTTTCTCCAGGTTGTCCTTTGCATATTTCAGTCTGGCTTGAAGGTGTCTCTTGGTTTGTCACCTCACAGTACATTTCTGTGCAGGGTTCCAGTGATTGTCTTCTTTGACACTACAATTCCCTACTTGGCTAAGTCATTCACTAGTGTCTTAGCAGGTGTTCTGGTGTCTTTAAACACATCTCTCATTAGTTTTCTTTCTCTGTCAGACTTGTCCTGTACTGTGCTTGAATATCTTGATGGTACTACGCTGTGATAACTTTGTTTGTCCATCTACATTTTTTCTCAAATCTAAACTGATTAGCGTCTCAGTTTTTAACTTGGGAATTGATTTTACAAACTCTGGGCATTACAAAGTTAAAGCGCACCGTTCCACAGCAGTGCTTTGTGCTATGGCTCAGTTAAAAGGTCAGTTTTTCAGAGGGCTAATAATATCATGGTCATTTTCGCTTTCTCTGTAATAATTCTGTAGTGCAAATAGAAAGAATTCATGGTTTCTAGAGAAATGTAGTATGTTTAGAAATGCTATGATGAAACCCCCTAGCTCTATTAAAAAAGAAAGAAAAAAATTCACTTTGAAAAAAATTAGAAAAATTACATGTAAAGGAGAGAAGAATTGGCCTCATAGAGGCATCACATCGTGGACACATTGTGAACAACGTGTTAAACCTGGAAAGAAAATGATGGCTCCTTGGCTCTGTCATGAAGTGGAGGGTAAAACATTTGTAGAAGCTCAGAGAAAATAAGAAAGTTTGAAGGAAAATGCCCGTGGGACAAAACTAGTCACATGGGCACTTTCTTTCCATCACTCTGAACTTTGATGCTTCTCAGCTGCAAACAGACACATTTGCTTTGGCAGCACTGCTGATGCTCTCATTAGATGACCAGGTCATTGTTCCTCTGGATAATAATAGCAGTTTATATCTAATTAGCTTGTCTCTTTGAGGGCACAGGGAAACATTGGAGCTGTCACTGCAGGTACACTGAGCTCAGTAGAGGGGGAAAAAACAGTAAGCGAGGGTGTGGAGATATTCATGTGTCTGACTTTATCGTAACAGAGGCTCATCTGGTATCAGGTCAGTGTCATGTCACTCGTGTGAAAACAGCAGTTTTCAGTCTGTTTCTGCTCTAAAGGTGGTACCTCTGCAACAATAAAACCCTGCCAACACAGGTGTGACAGATACCCTTCACAGTGAATGCCTGCTCTTTCTCATGTAGCTCGTAGCAGACTCCCAGTCTCCCCCGCTAACCTGCCCCTCCCTTCTCTGCTATGTTCTCTATTGCTCCCTGCAGGTGAAGCTGATGAAATACATCTGTAAACAGCTCCAGTGCAAGCAGAAAGTGCCAGAGACAGAGAGGCCCGAGGCCCTAGACAGCTATCCACACTTGCGAGACTGGTTACGCACCATCAACCTGCGACCAGAGCTCATTGAGGTAGGTCATCGTCTGGGCGCCAGTACTCTGGCCGGAGTGGCTGGCGTTTGTCTCCCATTTACAGCTGTTCTATAAGCACATCAAAGACTGCGTATAAAAGTCTTTTATATGCAGTCTGTGATGTGCACTCAGTCAACATTCACATGTGCATGAGGAATTAACCAGCGGCCGTCAAAGTGCCTTTCAAAAAGAGAAGCTGCTTCATTTTCGACGTCGTGAGAACGACAGCGCCAAAATCTAAACTTGAGCTGATTCATTTCAGATAACTGTGTCTACTGTTCGATTTTATTTTTTGTTACTGAAACAAATCTCACAAAACTAGCAAAGCAAAAAAAGCGAAACTGGAAGAGACATGTTGGTCTGTGCTCGGAGAAAGTCTTGAATGCTTCAAAAATCGCATTCTCAGCCTTCTGCTGCTATTTATAGCTCCATGCCATGTTTGTAAGAGGGAAGAGAAGGCCCTTTTCATACAAGTGTACAAAGTGTACTTATCTTTATTACAGTTCTTTAACTGATCCACTCTGTGCCTTTTCTTTTTTATTGCTCTAGCATTGTTGATGGTTACGTGTACATTAAAAAAAACAGGTTTATTAAAGTCTTGCTTTTCAGTAGATTCTTTTAAAATAAGATAATGACCTGTTCCTTGCCTAAACATACACAATTAGCATTTATTTAGGTGCTGGATCACTTGGGCTGTGGTGGAACCAGGGTAAGGTCTGTTTCACTTTCTGTCGATCTCCCAAAAAGACAATGACCCAGAAAATAAAGAACTGACCTTGGGTGTGAGAACCATGTAGTGCAGTAAAATGTTTAATATGTGTTGTTCAGCACCACTCAAGTGTCCCGCTCCTGAACTGTGACTCCAGCCTGCTAATCTGCGGCTGACACTGACCTCTGACCTCCTCGTGTAGCAGTGGGGAGTCTTGAGCGGAGAGATTTCCTGCAGAAAGCCTCCCTTATTAATGCAATTTCAGAACTCGCTATTTGCTGTCACTTCTGATCATGATGAAACTTTAGAGCATTGCCGTGTGCAGTCTTCCATTGCAGAAGCTACCAGCTGGTTAACTTATCATTTTTGTTTCAGTGTTGTTTTTAAGCTCCTCTATTGTTCAGTGGCTGTCAGCTGTTTGTTTGTTTGTTTTAACGCTTGGATTTATCATTTTTCTTATTGGGTTGTCATAATTGTCTCTCCTTTCTCTCCGCCCGTCCTGTCCTGCCGTGTCCTGCTGTAAACTGTTTTAATCCATGTCAGCTCTTATGTGTTTTTGTCGTTCCAGTCCATTTGTCTTTGTTTTGTGACCTGACGGTAACCTGCTTTATTTTTAAAACTCTCCTGCACTCGTTATTCTTTAATATGTGCCGGCCTTGTATGCACCTTGTTCCGTATCTGATTATTTGTGCTCTGTTTACCGTTTAGTCCGTTCACTCTTAAACCTCACTTCCTTTCAAAAGAATTTAGCTTTGCACGAGACACGATGAGGTTTTCTGATGAAATAGAAAGTGCTCATTTGTATGTCTTGTAGACCGGCGGGGACATCCCAAAGGACAAAGGACTGTAGCGGCATTTTGATGACCTATTTAGACCAAATATTATTAGACTGAGATGTCTACAGCGCATCTCCTCACTTTATACTATGATGGCTAGATTATGTGATGGACAGTCCAGTTTTATTCGTAGCTGAATTATGTAGATGACTTAATACAGAGAATTCCTACTGGGGATTCTAACCTGTGAAGGGCCCATATTAATTAAAACAGAGCCGATATAATACTGCATGTATAGGAGGCCCCAGTGAAACTGTCACATATGCAGGCTTTGCTGTAACTATGTTCTGAGTGAGGAAATAGAATGAGAGTAGAGGGCCGACAACAACTTTAAATATCACATCACTCACCCCTTACATGTGTGTGGTTTAGTGTGTGCGTGTCCTATGTTTTGGTTCTAGTGTACACACTAGTGTGGGAGGTTGCCCTAGTTTTGTGATCAGTGTTTGCCCCTGAGAGCAAGGGTTTAACCTGACTGATAAGTGATTGCGTACTTCCCCAGTCAAAAGAAACATCCTAAACTCACTGGATTTGGCCCTATTTCCTTCTGTCATCCATCAGTTGTTGATTGCGCTGTTGTTTGTTATTTTGCCGCTTCAGTAACTCGGCTGTAAAAAGAAAGCCCCGCCCTTCCAGGTTTGTACATCTCCAATCTTGCAGACTACATTTTTTAAGGCACATAAAAGGCTGGAAACAGAGGAATATGAAAGGAAAACTGCAGTGCTAAATGCTTAAATAAGTGGGAGTTGGTAGTACACTGGAGGTCATAAAGAACGCCTCCATCTTTTTCAGTTTTTATTGAAATTTCAGGAGATTGACTTGAGTGAGCAGCCTCGGTGATTCACTGTAATGCTACAAGTTCAGATAACATAAATGCATTAAAAAAATAAAGTTTAAATAGTCAAGAAATGGAATAATCATCCAAATGGGGTTTGAGTATCAACCAAAGTGGAACAGTCTGGTTTACGACACCCTGTGATGCCTTATTGTTGAGTTTTACTGTCTGCTGAAATAATAAATTTTCAAAAATGGGAAGTAAAAAAGGAAGACAGCCTGGGTGGTTAGCAAGATGACCCAAAACATTAGAGAGGAACTAGACAGCAGGTTATAAATGAAAGCTACTTAACCCTTTCATAAATAGTGGTCACTACAGTGGACAGCTATTCAGAGGCTGTTTCCTTGTATTTGTGTCAGTGTTGATCGTATATTAGCACATAAACCACTACATTGGACACTGACGTGTCACTCCATAACCTGCCACCCACTGGTCGTTTAATGTTACTATAGATGTATGACGTGTTTCATTGTAATCATTGTTATTTAACCCTTTCATGCATGAATTATGACAATTTTTTTCTTAAGTATTTTTTATTAATCTTTTCATGCGTAAAGACCAATAAAAATACTTAAGAAAAAAATAATGACTGAAATGACTGAAAGGGTTAAACATGTGGCGCTGGTTTAGATGTGTAGTATTGTGAAAGCAAAGCAGAGTAGATGTATAACAAAATGAATTTCATAATTAATAAATCCGTGTTTAATGGTTTGTTACCATTAACCTAAAAGTGAAGTTAAACCTCTGCAATGTGACTTTATTTTGAAATTTTATCAACTTTATTTTTTGAATTTTTGAATTTAAAATAACACAACAACTATTTGTTTAACAAATGCTTTGTGGCTTTTTGTAAAGTTCAGCGTGATGCCTCCAGAGCTTTGTAAATGATACAGCGTAGTGCATTTAAAAAAGCTATTTGCATGGTTTATCTATAAAGCTAAATGTTTATAATACTTGTTTTAAAGAGCTGTCACTGTGGCTGTGACACGTGCATCAGTGGACCAACACTAAAGGACACGTTGTGCGTCTCTGAGAGGCCCATGGCGCTGTATAAACGGCAGTATTTGCTGCTCTGAACATTGACCAGTGACTAGGCCTTCATCATTTACATAAATTTTTATATGCCCCAGTGTCATGAGAATGTAAATGTTGACAATGCTGATATTGTCTGGTATCAGCTGTGATATAACGCGTAATACAATATAATAGTCAGTCAAAAAAGTACCGCAAACTATTTACAATTTGCCTATTATAAAGTGCTACGATAATTTCCACTCTGAAACAAATGCTAGAAATATCGCAGCTGCTGAGTGGATTACATTTAGGGTTTAATTTCAATTTGTAAAGCAGTCACGATTAAGCGTTCTTTGTTTTAATTTTAAAATTGATAACTTTTCAGTGTTAATAAAGATACAGACTTAATGCTTAATTAAATACTGGTCAGCTAATGTCAATCAAAACTAATGTGAGCACTGTTAACTTTAACACACTGTTAACCCTCCATTTGGATTTCTTTTTCTTTTTGACACCCAATACTTCATATTATTTACAATTCACAATTGTGTCCACATAGAGTATCCAAGCCTATATGAATTTGTGTCTTTATCCGTTCAGCCATTGGGGAAAAAGATGATAAAGCATGCGCTTCTGTTTTCTTACTTTGCGGCCCACTAGTGCTTCCCAGTTCTCACAGTGTGGTGTGTGTATTAACTCTGCATCTTACTGCATCACTGTTTACTTCCTCTTTTACTGTTGTCAAAGTTACCTTCACCATTGTACAGTCATTACACCTGTATAAGACGTTTCACATAGACAGAAAATATTAAGCCATTTTTTTTTGTCAAACCCCACCTCAGGTTTGATCTTGGTGTTCCGCTTCTGCTCTATGCAGCTAATCTGAAAAATCAGATAAGCAGGCAAAGTAGTGTTTGGAATACCCCAAACAAACAGGATTAACAGTGATTTCCAGGAACTGTCCCGAGTCAGATGTTGAATAACCTGCTGAGCACTGCAACATTCTGCCCTTTTTAACGCTCAGTTTCAGCCTCACTACAAACAGTGTTGTTGTGGCTGATTGAGGGTACACTCGGAACAAAAAATATTTTTTATGAATGCCATATAAGCATAGTTCTTTTGGGGTATTTTGCTCTCTTTTGTTGTACAAAGCTTGTCACTAACATACTGCTTCACGTTGTAATAGATTAGAGCTCCTGTCATGGGCTTTTGTTTTGCTCCTCTGCAGGCCGTGGAGGCAAAGCTGTCGCTGGATACCTTACTGCAGATGACAGGAGCTCAGGTGAGAGACACAATGCGAAGACTTGGGTCCAGCTCAGAAGAATGTGGCAGACTCGGTGCTGCCCTCTCTTGTCTAAAGAGTGCTACTGAATCAGGTATGGGTTTGCACTTTGATGTTCCTAGAATATATTTCCCACGGATTTTCTATTAGTCTTTTTATTTATTTATTTTTGATCTGTTTCATGTCTCTTCCAGGAGGCGAACTAAGAGATGACAGCAGTCTCTGGCTGTCTGAGCCCACCAGGAGGGACAGCGGCTCTCTGCTGACAGCAGACCAGCTAACCAACCTGGGGACCCCACTCCGCACACACAGCCCCTCGCCTCTAGCCCGCCCAGCCACCATCCAGTCCACCCCATCCACTCCCTGCGCAACCTTCCCCCACCCTCGCTCAGGCTCGATGTCAGCGGCGCCCACGCCAGACGCACATGGCGACAGCCCTCTCACAGATCCATTCCCTATGTCCTTCGCCCGCGCAGCCCGCCTCCATGGGCACATCTCCACCCCACCTATAACGCCTCCTTCAAAGAGGCGTCACCGGTTGAAGCCTCCCTGCACCCCTCCCCCGCCATCCCGCAAGGTACTGCACCTGCTTCCCAACATCACACTGACGCGCAGCAAAAGCCACGAGTCTCAGCTGGGCAACCGCATCGAGGACCCTCCCACCAACAAGTAGGTGCTAAGCTGTTAATGGGTGGTTTGAAGATACTGCTCAAGAATTCACCTCATTTGCAGCTTTTCATAAGTAGGTCAGACTGGAACTAAGTGGGGAATCCTCAGATGGCACTGTAATTGTGACAGATTGCTTCTGTTGTGGGGAATGTGTATGTGTTTTGGGGGTTTTCTGTTTGCTTTTTTTTGGGGGGGGGGGGGGGGGGTGGTATCTTTTATTTCACTGAAATTTGAATCTCAGCTTGTTTTTGCAGGAAGTGTTTAGTTTCTGCTTCACAGAAAGGAAAAGGAGAAAATTCTGATTTGTGCTGGCCAGCAATGGCGTTGGCCAGCTGACAAGCCTTCTCACAAGGGATCTTTTTTTCTCGGTTTGTTATTACTATCAACTGAAAGAGCACTTGTTGTTTGACATTTTATAAAGGACTTGATAAAATGCCCCGGTCCTGCCCGATGTCTCACTCTTAATTCCGTCTTGCGCTCTGTCGGGACAGAAGCAGTTTTCCTTAGATATGTCCTCATTCGCTCTCTCTCCCTCTTCCCCTTCCTCTTTCACATCCGTTCACATACTGCCTGTTGCTCCTTTGCTCTCGCTGTATGAGTGGAGCTAATCCCCACGCAGATTCCCAGAGATTATGAGTCATGTCAAAACAGGAAGTATTTCCTAGTTCTAATGCTCAGAGGTGGCAAGAAGCACAGTTTCTCTCTATCCCTCTCTCTCTTAATATCTAATGTTTTTTTAACCTCTGTACTAGGACTGGCTGCCCAAGCACAATACAATCACATGTTTATCCATAATATCTGTTTGTGGAAAACTTTATTTAAAAAAAACAAAACAAAATGGAAAAAATGGCTAACATAGGACACTATATGCTTTTGGAGGTTTATTCTCAATCTGCATATGTTGTGCGGTATATTACAAAAGTGTTACTTTATGTAAGGAGGTCGCAAGTCGCAGTACTAGACTGATAGTCTTGTTGCAAATTTTTACAACTGTGGCTCCTCACGTGTTTGTGTGCATGTGCGTATAAACCACAGACCTGGCACCGCTTAGCCCTTCACTCCTTGTGACTTCACTCTGGGTGTTAAGGATGTCACCCTGCCCTTCGTGTGCCAATGCAATTAAGGTTCTCCAACGTGCCTCTCCCAGGCCCTTACATAATCTGTCCTGTGCAGTATAGTAAGCAAGCAGTTCAGTATACTGCACCTGCTGATTCACTCTTCTTTCTGTGCGCTTCCAGGTGTGTTAAAAAGAACAAGTTGTTCCTGAACATGCAAGTCAACGGTAACGGATGTGAGGATTCGCCTTCTCGCTACCCCGCCGTGTCTGCAAGGACACCCGGTGCCACCCCAGCTGCCAACACAGCACCTTACACCCTTCCTGGAACTCCCACACTGCTGGAGGAGCACAGCACAATTAAGAGTGAGTCAGCTGCATGCATGCACTTTTAATTTTGCTGAATATACCTGCTTAAAGTGGACTTATTGTGCTCATTTCCAGCTTCGTAGATCAAAATAGTTCTTGTATACGGGGCCTTGGTGCAACTTGTCAGTTCATTCTCTTAAAGACAGCTTTACTTTGTTTGTCTGAACAGATCTAAAGAACAGGTGTACTCAAAGCTTAAGACTGTGTGTTGTAAATGACCACATTAAGAACACAACCACCAAATGAGATATAAGAGTAAAAAATGCAGTCTGAAATCTGAGCTTTTGGCTCATAGGAACTGCTACTACAGATGCACTGACATCACTATTTGAAATTTTGGCAATATTAAAATTGGAATCCACAGAAAAACACAGGAGTAAAGACATGATAGGTCCACTTTACTGACATGATGTAAAAGTCTTTGGTTCTGCAACATTGCTATAATGATCTTATGTGTGTTTTTGTGCTTGAATGTAAATAAAGGCTTCACCTCAGTCAGCCATCCTTGTAATCACTACTCATCATTTGCATTCTTTCTGTCTCTTTCTAGATAATGTAGCAGTGCATCGCAGCTCCCCACAAGCAATAAGGAGGGATATAGGGCTTGCAGTCACGCACAGGTAGACCTTTCAAAAGAAAAGATAGATTTGCTGTTAATACAATAATGGCTCAAGAGTTGGGAGTTCGCCTTGTAATCGGAAGGTTGCCGGTTCGAGCCTCTGCTTGGACAGTCTCGGTCATTGTGTCCTTGGGCAAGACACTTCACCCGTTGCTGGTGGTGGTCAGAGGGCCCGGTGGCGCCAGTGTCCGGCAGCCTCGCCTCTGTCAGTGCGCCCCAGGGTGGCTGTGGCTACAATGTAGCTTGCCATCACCAGTGTGTGAATGGGTGGATGACTGGATGTGTAAAGCGCTTTGGGGTCCTTTGGGACTAGTAAAGCACTATACAAGTACAGACCATTTATAAATTAAACTTTACAGCGATCTAATACAGAGTGGGTCCATAAGAAGCTTTTATGTTTTGTTTTTTAGGTTTTCCACCAAATCCTGGTTGTCGCAGACGTGTCAAGTGTGCCAGAAAAACATGATGTTTGGAGTTAAGTGCAAACACTGTCGGTGAGTTAATTACTGTCACAAACACAACCCAAAAAAGTGGTGAAAAAAAAGGTCTGTTAGAAGGCACATGTGTTTTAGGAAGGTGGGAATCTGATGTCTTGGCTAAATCTTGATCTGGGTGTGCCGTTGGTGCTAATTACGAATTACCACTAAGCCTCTCATATGCTGCCTATGTTTTGTTTTGTTTTTTTTGCTAATGCAGATTAAAGTGCCACAACAAATGTACAAAGGAAGCTCCATCCTGCAGAATCTCCTTTCTACCAAGTAAGTTTTCTTTCATCCCACGCTGTGCAGCTGATGGGCTAAATCTATTTGGCATTCATGCCTGTTTGTGACATGATTGTTTTTCTCCCACAGTTGCCAAAATTCGGAGGACCGAGTCAGTTCCCTCTGATATAAACAACCCAGTGGACCGGCCGCAGGAAGCACCGCAGTTTGGCACACTACCAAAGGCTATTACGAAAAAGGTAAATTAAAAGAACTTTCACAGAACTGCCGTGTGTGTAGTCCCTTTTTAATTACCTTGAACTATTATGCCAATACATATACCTCCATTATCTCCATCATCTGTCCATGCTAACCATTGTAAACATAATGTATCTGAAATCACACCTGACTATTAAAGTGTGCACTGACAGGAACATAAAGCATAGAGCTTGTTGAAGGAATCTTGAAGGCAATGCAACATGGCTAATAAATAGCAATCACGCTTAGTGTTGTAACCTTCCATCCCGGTCCCAGCAGGATCATCCACCAGTGCTGAACCAGCTGGACTCCAGCAGCAACCCATCCTCCACCACTTCATCCACACCTTCCTCCCCAGCACCCTTCCAGCAGAGCAACCCCCCCAGTGCCACACCACCGCCCAACCCTTCACCCAAAGGTCATCGAGACAGCCGATTTAATTTCCCGGGTAAGCTTGGGTACAGAATCACAAACACAGATGCACATATACACATGTAGAGTATATACTGAAACATGCATGCTGACATTGTTCTGATTTTTCCTCAATGCATTTGACAATGAATCTTTTCCGGTTCAGGAGTGTGGCGCTCCCACAACTACTTACCCTTTTTCCCCAAATACACAATATTAACACTAAAAGGAGTTTTTAAGAAGATCTCTTGATTCAAAGCTTCTCTAACCAAAAACCCTTGTGTCCCTTGCCTTGCTTATCACTCTTCCCCTTCTCTTTTTCTTTGAAAAAGCTGCCTGTTACTTTCAGCATAGACAGCAATTTATCTTCCCGGGTGAGTTGATGGTCCCAAAGTGTAATACTACATTGTTAAGATCCCTTCATCCGTCTCTCCCTCCACACCATGGCTTCTTTACAGTTTTCTGTCTCCTGCATGTTTGCTTTTAAGGGTTATAGTAGTTAGATTAGCTGTGTTTGACTGTGTGGCAGCATTCTGATGCCATCTGCTGGAAGTAGTAGGAAATTGCATGAGCAGTCATGTTCATGTGTGCTGCTGGCTCTGTAACTTTTGCTCCCATCGGTCATCCCTAACTGGTGTCATTTTCCTCCGCAGATGTTTCCAGTCCTGCAAATTTCCACTCAGATGTTCTCCAGGACAGAGTGTAAGACTTTTTTGTCTCAAGCTTTAATCCAAGTTTTAGTGACTACACAGTGGTTTTGGTTATTTACAACCCCGTTTCTTAAAAATGGCAGAATGCTCTAAAATGTAAATAACAGCAGAATGTGATGGTCTGCAAATTATGTAAACCACATGTTTAACTGAATAACACAGCAACACCTTAAATAAATGTAAAATGTTGAACGTGAGGAACTTTATTTTGCTTTGAAACTTCAATGTTCTTCAATGACACTTCAATTAAAGATGATCCAAAGTAAATTCAAACTTGTGCACCCAATTCTTGTTTTTTTTAAAGGCTTTAAAGAAGTATGCTGTACAATCATTCCACTCTAGAAACAGAACAGTTCAAAGAAATCATTAAAACTGGCCTGCCTGCAGTATAGATCTGTCATCCACAGAAAAAATATTTGTTGCTTTTATCGGAATCTCACCTTTACCATTTGTCATGATGTCTTTGTACTATTTAAAATGAAATATAGAGCTTAAACTATCTGCAGATCATTGTACTCTGGCATAACGTGCATTTTGTGCAGTGTCGCTCTTTCGGAAACAGCCTTTTATTTTTTTTGTCTTGCTTTGAACCCCTCTGATATCAGTGTTCTGTGTCACAGCAGTGAGATAGAGCAATCATCAGACGACGTACATGATGACCTGGTAGAAGATGACGATGAAGAGGTAATGCTGGAGATGCAGTCTACAAAATATTCTTTTGTTGTACTGTTTCCTGGCTCTTTGCTTATTAGTCTGTACAGTGAGGCTGTTCAGTGTCACACCTTCAGAAATTGGATTTGTTTAATTTTGTTTTCAGTTTTTAGACACTCATGCTTTGATTTCCTAAAAGGTTGGACAATTGTCAACTGGGGTATGAAATTAGCTCAGGTGACTGAAGATTGAGATTTCATTAAACCATCCAAATGTAGCCAAAAGGTTTGTGACTAAAAGTCCCTGTGACATCTGTTGATTAGAACCTGCTCAGGTGGCAACGCTGGCTTACAAAATGTTCATCGGCAGTTTTAAATTTATATTTGATAGATTTTTTTTTTTTAAATCAACTTTTACCAAAACCATCGCCACACTATTGCAGGAAGGGGATGAGGAGGTTGAGGACGAAGATGATCACGAAGGGGAGGAGGAGGACGATGAGGAGGATGATGAGGACAATGTGGATGGAGGAGAAGATGAGGACGACAGAGGGGAGATCAGGATGCACATGGGCTCCGACGGCGAGTGCGACGAGCTGGATGATCTGCCCAACTCTCGGGGAAACCAGTGGAAGGGCCCCATCTCCCGCAAGGCCAGTCAGACCAGCGTTTACCTGCAAGAGTGGGACATCCCCTTTGAGCAGCTGGACCTTGGGGAGCTCATAGGAAAGGTGAGGAATCTACCCAACGAATTCATAGTGTGTTGCATACTCGAAAAAAATAAAAATAAAAAATCAGACAGTTTGTGTTTTGTTTATCCAGGGCCGCTGGGGAAAAGTGCACAAGGGCCGGTGGCACGGCGAGGTGGCCATCCGGCTTCTTGAGATCGATGGGAACAATCAGGACCACCTGAAGCTCTTTAAAAAGGAGGTGATGAACTACAGACAGACCAGGCATGAGAATGTGGTCCTCTTTATGGGAGCCTGCATGGCTCCACCCCACCTGGCCATTATCACCAGGTGAGAACAAAAATATCACAGGTTACCTCAAAAACGATTCTAAACCGGATGCATGTGTTTGCTTTAATAGAATGATTTTCCTCTAACTCCTGCAGTTTTTGTAAAGGGAGGACACTCTACTCAGTAGTTCGAGACACTAAAAACACTCTGGATATTAACAAGACAAGACAAATCGCTCAGGAGATTGTAAAGGTATTTGTTTCTTTTTT